TAGAAAATTAGAGATTATGTAAATCGTATATTTTTAGATGACTGGCCTTTAGCAATATTTTTTTTTCTTTTGCTGATGGTGCCAAAACACATCTGAGCCAAGGTGGAGATAAACATATCAGCCTACAACAATTCATGTACTTTGCATGTTTTCTATTCCCAATTATTACTATTCTCGAATAGTGAAAGCATCTTCATGTAGCGATAAAAAAACAATCACATCACTTTTCATGTTGGTGATTTTTTTCTGTTTGTTTGTTTGTTTTTGTGTTGTTTGTCGTTAGACACAGCAGGGAAAAAATCCCATTACTTTCAAAGTACAATTTTATCCAATTTTTTCAAAATAACCCTTCGGTACCTTAGGCTGGAACAGCAGCCCTTTATATCACTGCTCTGATCGCCCCATCGCTTGATGCTGCTCAAACCTCACCAACAGCTAATTATCAGAAAACTGCCCTGTAACATCTGAACTCCTCCCTCCCCATTATATGTTTTAGTTATGCTTAAGAAATGCATGAATTTAGACAAGACAAGAAGTTACATATATTTTACAAAATGCAAGTTAGAGAGCATCTAATTTTCAATCTAAGAACTCAATAGGCTTACTAATTAAGTCTGCCTCCATTTTTTATTACATAATCTAATTTGGTACTACTTGATTTTATGGCCCTCCATGACAAACCACCAATGTATATAAAAGAACTATAGTCAAATGAAGGACAACCAGAAACACTTTCACTTTGACTTCTATTTGCGAAATTTGAGGAATAAATGATAATAAACAATAAATGACACATAATAAATGATAACAAATGTTCAATACAATAATATACCTGAAATAAATCCAACAATAAATATTAAATACAATAATAAGTAAGTAAAATAAATACAATAATACAGCTGAAATAAATGAGAATTTGTTTGAACGCTGACAAGATACTTTCACAATAATGGATATTCGGTAGTTTAAGCTGCGAAAATGGTGAGTGTCTTCTTCTTCATGTTCCAAATTAGAAAGCAAGCACACTGATATCAACGACTGTTGACCACTTAGTGGAAGGATCGACAATATATTCAGATTGTCAATGAGCCTATAAAAGAGATGAGTTTGAAAGCTCATCCCTTTTAAAGCTATTTAACTGTGATGACACATATAATTTCTTGATCCAACAAAGTGTGCTCGCATCCAAAATGTGGAAAGATTATGGAGATCTGTCAAATGGAGGAATTAAAAAAAAGGGGGGTATAGCTCATCATCACCCAGAGCTGCATCTTATAGAATTCATGTGTGAAAATCCTATAAGAGAGATAAACTTCTTGATGTCATATTAGAAGCAATCGCAGACATATGGCAACCACACACTACACTGGCGTGCAAAAATTAAGGACGAGACGGTTTTTTCAATATAACTTTGTACAAAAGCTTTGCAAATCAACACATTTAATACCGTAAGATCCCCAATACGTAAGGACATGAGTAATGTAAGCAACACTTACTAAAAGAGAAATCAGAGGGATAAAAAGAAGCTTTGTTGAAAAAGTAGCATGGAGCGCAATGCGACTGAAGGCCGAAACATCCCTGTGATGGGTGTCCAGCAAGAAACATCCGGTCTTTAATAGGGGATATGATCTCCCCTGACTGCTAGGGGAGTCAGTTTCACAGCGTCTGCCCATGCTGAGAATGAGGGTGTCAATGAGTTGTTGAGGCATTGCTGCCCATTCGTCTTGCAGCGCCAATCGAAGCTCCGGAACCATTACTGGTGGTAAGGTACGAGCTGCTAAGCGTCTGCCTAGAAAACCCCCATACATGCTCGATGGGATTGAGATCCGGAGATCGTGCCGGCCAATCCATACGTTCAATATCCTCACTCTCTAAGAGCTGTTCGGCAGCTACTGTGCGATGACATGGTGCATTGTCGTCCATGAAAAGGAAATGCGGACCCATAGCGCCTCTAAAAAGACGCACATATGGAAGAAGAATCTCATTACAATAACGAGTCCCGTTGACTGAACCTGCGTCGAAGATGTGAAGGTCTGTACGACTACCAAGCATGATGCCTCCCCAAACGAGAACACCGCCACCTCCATACCTGTCCCTTTCAATGATGTTCGAGGGATGATTGCGGCTTCCCGCTCTCTCCAGATGAGTATGCGATGAGAATCGCTACTCAACTGAATCTGCTCTCATCTGTAAAGAGTATTCGTCCCCATTCATTGTCTCTCCAATTCCGGTGTTCCCGGCACCACAGAGAACGCCTTCTCCGATGGCCAGGCGTTAGAGGTACACACCGTACAGGGCGTCGTGCAAACAGACCACCACCGTGCAGTCTTCTGGCCACGGTAAAACGCGATATCGGTCGTCCAGTTGCCTGTCTAGCAATTTCTCCCGCTGTCTGCCGCCTGTTTCTTCTGGCCTGTAAGGCAATATACCGGTCATCTGCGGGTGTGGTTCCTCGTGGACGACCACTACTAAACCCCCGTATAGCTGTTCCTGTAGTTTGAAATTGTCTCTAAAGTCGTGAAACGATGCTGTGAGCAATTCCGAACTCTGCAGCCACACTTGTCACACCGCGGCCTTCCTCCAATTTCCCAATGATTCGACCTTGGGTAAAAGCATCCAGATATCATCTAACAGATTGATTATTCGCCATTTCTCGCTGAGGCAGCACCTCGGTGTGATTTTAACTGCTATACGGCGTGCAATCTCTTTGCCAGAAATACTGATCTTACACCGACAACATGCTTTATACTACTCAGACACTCCCCCATTACGTCTACCTGCATATCTGCGCATGTGCTACCGTACATCACCTTACTTAATCTCCTGATTGGTCTTTCTGTCCGCTCTGCCTCTTCGTTCAGCTGATATGCTAATTTTTCGACTTCGTCCTTAATTTTTGCACACCAGTGTATACGCAAGTAGTTTAAACTTGGCAATAAGCTTGTCACTGCTTTGAAAACAGGGGCCGTGAAAATCAAGTAGTACCACTAATTTTAATAAATTAAGCAAAAATATTAGTTTTAACCCTTTATTTGACACAGTTGCTCAAAAAACAAAATGTGATTTCACCATTTGCCAATTAAAGGGTTAAAATACTGTAATTAAATATAGTGTTTGATTAAAATAGAAAACAAAATAGTATTAAAAATATATGGTATTTTTTAATTAACAATTCGCACTTTATGCTAAACAAAATGTTGGCGCATTGTCTAACTTGTGATAGGTATGACATCTTTAATGATAAACACAGCTTCATGAAAAATTTGAGGGGCTACTCAGATAACCGGCACTTGGTGAACTTCCTGAAATCGCGTTCGGCAACTTCGGCGATACGTGCCATACAGTGGGAGGATAGTTTAAGTTGCTAGTTTAGATCTTTACTACGCTAGGGAGAAGGGGAAAAGAGAAGGGATATTTTCTTTCTATATGTAAATACTTTGCTTTGGCTGTCATGTGACTTTGCAGATGAATCGTCGTGCTGATCACTTAACTTGTCAGCAGATGTGGTGCATATGCTCATATGCTGTTTGTTGTTCCGTATGATATTCACTATTTAATTAGAACAAAATATTATTATTTATTAGACTATTAAAATCTATTAAACTTTGCAATTGTTCTTCCCAATTTTAGCATTTAATTAAATGCAAATTTTAAAGAAAAATTTCCAAATAAAAAAATAGAAATTACATTTTCAATTTCAGATTACACTGTTCTCATATAATACAACTGATTTGCAAAAAACTTTGCACCCGCTGCTGCTTCCTTTAACTCTTTGACGGACTTTATTAATATTTGTCTCCCAGATGAAAACTGCAAAAATCCATTTAAAATACATGCAATTATGCCTTCTAGTTTTCTAAATGCATAACAGATGGCAGCACTAGTATTCATCCATGGAAATAATGCAACATGAAAATTCTTCACTGGTCTAATTTTGAGGCAGTTTTTTTTTTTTCCTTAATTTCTTATGCAAATTTAAATTATTTGAACAACAACTTTTTGTGTTAGAATGAATATTTTTATCTGAAAGTTAACTTTTTTATTACTTGAATTCATATATGTTAATTAAAAATGGTTGAAATTAAAAGGTGAGACAAACACGTCCCACCGCGCATGTAGGAACTGCTGCTACTAGATGGCAGCATTGTTCAATTTTTTTTTTTAAAATTCAAGTAGTATCATGCTCATTTCATCTACTGATAATGCAAATTTATATTTTTTAATAAGCTGCAATAATGTTAAAACTTGAAAAAGATTTAGTATTTTTTCAAAAAAAAAAAAAAAAAAAAAAAAAAAAAGAAAGAAACTATAACCCTCTAACATGAAATGTCACTGAATACTGAATGGATATGTAAGTGTAATTCACCACAGAAAAATATCCTAAGCAGATGGAAGAGAGGTGAAATGTAAATAAACACGATGGCTTTCTAAATACCTTCCTTTTCAAACCTGAAGTAAATAAAGTACTGGAGCAAAAATCTTCTCTTTCAAATCTGTATGAAATCATTAAAAAATATCTAAAAAGTTGTACAAAGAGCGATTTTTTAAAAAAAATTATGTAATTTTTTAAAATTATTTTTTATTTTGCAAATATTATCAATATTTTCTAGATATGTATTAAAATACTTTTTTTTTTTTTTTTTTTTTTAATCTTGCATTTTGATTTGGTTGCTAAAACCAGCACTTCACGTACGCAAATCAGGGGAATTTCCACTTAGCAATCTAGAGCAATAAAATGGCAAAGATGCCATTTTATTGCTCTAGATGCACGGTTGAAAACGCCGTAACCCACCACTTCGTGAATTAACTTAGTTAACTTTTTTTTTTTTTTTTTTTTTTCATGTTTTGCATGAAATAGCATTGTATTAGGGGCTATTTATCTATGCGTAAAGTTATTTTTTTATGCACCGAACCTCAAAGGTTTAAAAAAAGTTAACATTCAACAAAAGTAAACAAAAAAAAAAAAAAAAAAAAAAAAAGTGAAAATTATTACACTAATATTCTTTCATCCTCTTTATTTGCAGTGACATCACTGTAGAAGTACTCAGTTCAGAAATAAACATTTTTTATCACATCAAGCATTTTCATCACAATTACATCTAGCATCCCATAAATCAAAAAGAAACAAATATAACTTTTAACAGATTATTAAAAATAATTCTAAATATTGTAGTTAAATGCAGAGAGGCTGGGGGGGAATTAAGTGTTAATGAAAACATTTGGCCTAAAAAAGTTTTTTTTCTCGGGCTTGGTTACAAGGTTCTTTCAAATTTATTAGGTGACAAAAAGGTTAAATAGGCTGACATGAAGTAAAAAATTAAAGTCAAGAAAGTTTCCAAATAGATATAAACATATTTTTAATTTAGAATGGTTAGCTACCACAATGCATTAAAACCCTGTGAAACGCTGGATAATTATAATTAAAATTTCTCAAGTTTTACTGCAAAGTGTGAAAATGCCCTTTAAGGATATTCAGTTAATTCACAGAGGACCTTGGGTGGAAATTAAGCATATGAATTTAAAATAAGTAGAATAAGAAAACAAATGAATATTTTAGAAATACTTATAAATGCCTTTACTAAATTAAATGCAGAAGTATTTTATTTAGATTTGTATAAATATTTTATTTCAAAATCAAATAACTATATTGGACATCTAAGTTTATAAATCACATCTTCTTATTTTTATTAAATATGCTGTATAAGGTCACATTCTCCAAATACTTAGAAAATTATGTATAGTGCACAGCATTAATTATGGTTTAGTGAATTTATATCTTAACATACAACCACCGCTGATACAAAAAGGCTAAATTTACATATCATCTCTTTTTTACTTTGAAGCAAATTACGGATAATAAGGATAAGGAATACTGTTTTTAGTTTGAGAATCTTTTTGTTGTTCATCATACAAAATAGAATATTGATAAACTTTTGAAACATTTAAGATCTCATCTTGAACATTGTGCCTTACTTCTGATCAAACAATATCAACAAAATATCTCCTGATAACTTGCAAGTTTCTGACTGCTCAAACCTTTCTTCTCACATATAAAGTTTTCCAGTTTTCATTAGCTTGGTAAAATTAACATTCAAAAGCGCCAATGAAGCCATCAAGTTCATGTGCTTTTCCCGGGCTCAGAATTTTACATATCCAAAGTAGTCTTCAAAACAACTTTGGGGTAGATTAAGCATTGTCTTCAGATGCTGGAAAAAAAAAAAAAATCTTCTAATGGATTATATGTATCATTTTCTTGTTATAAAAAATTGAAGCATATTTGGAGTATAAAATATTAATAAATTATAAAACACACTCACAAACTAAGAAAAAATAATATATAGTTATATACTAAAATTGGTTGTATATTGTATATAATTTAAATCACAGTAAATGTATCATGTGTACAAGGCATTGAAAATAAAAACTAGTTTTTAAATTCATTTGAACATTATTATTGTCAACTACATTACTGCTAATCATACTACTACTATATTTCATTATGTATTTCCCCCCTTTTTTTTTAAATTTTAGCACAAAGTTCTGAGAACATTTTAAGTACCCACGTAATTTTCAATTTCTTCAAGGTATTCATAAAGAAAATAATTTTAAAAAATTGTTCAATTTTTAGATTAAATTTAGAATTAGTTTTCAAAATTTTAAAATTAGATCATCAATGCAATGGATTTTCATTCTACTAGATGATTTGCTTGAGGATTATGGGTGGATGGGCACTCACTGATCAAGCAATAATAGTGAGGGGCTCTTAGAAAATGGGGATATCTAATGCTGTTGATGATTCTGAAGGTCCTTGCATATCAGAAAATAGAGTGACGAGAAAGACAATGATCATAGTCATAATGTCAACAATTTGTAAACTGTAGAAGACAATGGAGAAACAAGTGTTACATGATTTCAAAACCAAAGGAGTAGTAGTGGACAACAATGAGATTGTGCAAGAATGAGGATCAGATAGGTAAAAAAGAAGATATTTTATTACATACCGTAATGTCAATATTAATATGTATCCCTATTGGAATGTAAACTTCTTTTAAATGGATAGTTTTGAGATAAGTAATTGTAATTTATCCATAAATATATTTCATTTTTTATATTATTACTGCAACCATGTCCTTCATAAATTAAATCATTCGCATCATTTGCAATAATATTAACAAAAAAGGGGAGAAAAAATACACAAATAAATATGGTATGTTTATGTACCTGCACAATATTTATTTGAAAAAAAATCATCATGTGATTCATACTGGGAAAATGAAAACCATGTTCATTAAATAATCTTTTCAACTACTACTATGAAAAATATATATATTAAATCTGGAGCTTTGTAGAACCTTCTGAGGAAAATTTTCAGTTACTCAAAATTCTATGCTAATTTACTTAGTTCTGTTGAGACCTTTTCTTCAAAGTATACGAATATAGTTTTAAGGGTGTTAATGGAATATTTAGATTTTATTTGAAAGTGCAAAAGTGCAAATACTTGCAGCACTTTCTGGTTACCTGCCTCAGTCCTCCCGAAAAGTTACCAATAATTAGTGACTAATTGTTCCTCCAACCTGAAATAGAAAAGACAGACATTCTCAAAAATGATGGCACATTACGAATTACATAAAACAGCAACCAATTAACAAAATTATAAAAGCAAGAAACACCCACAATATCTACAATCGCCTTTTTCTTGACTCTTTTCTCCATGTACACAGGATCTGCTTTAGCTTCAAAAAACATCAAGCAATTACAAAACACTATTATTTCCCCATATACAGTATGTTTTTCTCAAAAAACATTATAGAAATGAACATATTTGGCATTGCACATGTTATTGTTTTCCCATGTTATCAGCAATCTGTTTTCATTAAAAAAAATCAGAGAACTGAACAAATTGTTGCATTAGTGCACAGATTCAAAAATTTATGAAATACAACTTCATGGAATGCAAATTTTTGTGCCTTCTATTGTTAGGTAAAATGCCAAATTTCCCTTTCTTTTTCAGCAGCCAGCAAACTTCATAACTGCAAAACCTTTAATCAAAAAAATGATCATCAAAGTTGAAAAGCCCAAAACAGCTTTTCAGGATAAGACATATTTCTATCTTTTGGAAAGTTTTATCCAAGAAAAAATGAGCTGATGGTAAAAGTAAATTTTTTTCCCCTGTATTTATTTGGCAAAGGAGCTTTTTTTTGGGGGGGGGATTTCGTGCGTGTTTCCATTTCTATTTATTAATATATATATATATATTTTACATATAAACCTAACAGTGATCGAGCAGTAGGATCCTAAAGACTGGTGGTTTGACAAGAGCTCAAATCTTTTCTGATGTTGCAGTTATTATTAAGGCCCAAGAAATAGTAATTTGTTACTAAATAGGTATCCTTAATTCAGTGTATATACAAGTTTCTAATTATCATGCATAGTTACAGATTTTTCTGAATGAAACATTTTTCAGTACTTTTCCATTTTGCTGGCGCAAAGCTCACCAAGCAGATTTTGTTAGCGACAACCCACAGTATACACATTAAAAATGTTATTTCTAAGAATTTTTTACTTTGGACACATAACCATTTTAATATAGTTAAAATTTTTTTTCTTTTCAAATGGGTCTCTTATTTCCCCCTTCTCGACATAAATTTCACGAGATAACTGTTCAGATGATGACATGCTGTTCCAGTCCACAACTGTTCCCTGACTGATTTCCAACTGACTCATTTTCACACCATTTAACTAATGTTAATTCTTCACTCCAAGCACAAATAAACTTCATACACTTGAAAAAACTCAATTTCTACGAGTCAAACCGTCTGCCTTTCCCGATATGTTTACTATGACAAATTCAAACGTTGCAGCGCCACTGCATTTTTGTCTCCGAAACACAATTTCATAATTATTATCACAAGTAGCAATCTTTGGCAAAATGCCTAAGATTGAAAGAATTTGGCAGATTCTTCCACTGCACTAGACAAATCCAAAATTTTAATTGGTTTTCCTTCTATTTTTGACATATTAGGGAAAAGACATGACTCATAAAAAATGGCCGCAACTTGTTTAAAAAATGTTGCGGTAAAAGGTTACTAGCCAAGACATACAATTTGACAACTTTATCGCCTACACCGGTGAAATGGAAAAGTACCAAATTTTCATGTCACAGCTTCAGAAAAAATGAACTTAAAGTTTAAGTAGCTTAACATCTATGGTAAATAAAGTTCTGCTCAAAAGAATTTCTGCATATATACATCATGGCAACCATGATAAGATTTGGGCTGATCTTTGGAATATGGTCACTGGTAGTTTGGCGACATTTTGGAGGCGATAAAGGTTACTCCTATGACTTTGGAAATAATGTGAGAAGTACTCAGTTCCGATTACGCATTATTTTGTGTGAGGGAATAGAGAGATCATCAAATATGTCATGTGACATTAATGGATGAATTACAGTTCTTTAATCGGAAAAGGGGGGAAATCTGGAAATTTTGTATTTAGCTTTATTCAGTGTTGGTTAATTTTTGGATCCTATGGCCCTAACTAAAGTGAATTCGAAATGGGTACTTAGGCATTAGGATAAAGAGAATTTTGCTTTTTATTTAGCGGAGGAAGTATAGAGGAAAAATTCGCAAAAATCTTCATAATTTTATGAATGAATTAGAAAAGTGTATCCGCCATGTAATCAAGATTCTGAAGAAGATTAGGTAAGTTAGTATTTTAGTATCTGAGATATTATTTTTATGCATTGTTCTAATGTAAGGAGTAAATAAAGTAATATGGTATTTTGAAAATTGTTATTCAATGATTTAGTATAAAGTAATTAAGATTGTAAGCTAATTTTTATTATTTAATGTATGTGCTTATTTATATTTTAAGTAGTGTTTTTGAATTAATATATTTTAATTAAATGATATTATTTTGTGCATTTTATGTCTGTAGGAATTTGGTATACGTTTCAGTTGAAGTAAACGTCATGGAAATAATTTAAATATTTGACACTAGTATTGTAACCATTTGTAATGTTTGCTGTATGATTCGTTGGTGACGTTTATAATATAATAGAAAGTTTAGAGGTAAAAGGTTTTGAATATTTTATTTATTTATACGTGGAAATGTTCATCCTTGGAAAGGGTATGTACTTTTCGCGATCAGGTAATTTCATATATGTGCTTTTACCAAGTTTAAAGATTCACAGAATTTTTTTTTGCATTTTCTGCAAATTTTGTAATTTATGAGAATAGCAATGTAGATGGATAAAGTTAAGAGTGTTTGCAATGCCATTTTTGGTGCTTTCGGGATGTTTTTTAAGTAAAAATAAGCGAGTAAAGGTTTATGTGTATGTGCTATTTTGAAAACGTGCAAGGATTTGCGATTGTGCACTTTTCCCACTTTGCAGATAATATTTTGTCATGATTAAGCAGTTTTGTTACATAAATTTCTAGCATAAGTGTATTCAACTAGTAGATTGTTGGAAAAAGTGTTCAGTAACTAAAAAGAAAAGAAACATGTCTTTACTTCGTGAAGACAAAATGGTGGCGAAAAAAAAATAGAGGGTTGCTGTAGCAGAGTTGGTCGCTAAATTTTCGCCAAGTTACCATAATCCAAAGATCAACCAAGATTTGTAGTACTCCGTCTTTGATATGATTTAAAAAAATTCCTCGTCATTTAATTCGCTTCTGATAGCGGAGAAAGTGACACAGAGGTTATTGAAAAAGAAAAAATTTCAATTGACAAATTACTCGTTTTTGGCCAGCAATATAGTCTTGAACAGCGGAACTTGTAACTGAACAAGAAATTATGTCCTGTTTATAGAATTAAGAGAAAGTATTATCACATAAAAACGAAGCAACTTAACAACTTACATGAAAGAAATGTTTAATAAAGTAACAAATAAATATTAAGCTTTTTTTTTTGTTAAATTCTGATACCTTTAGATCATAATTGTTTTTTTATTTCATAAATTACAGTTTCATATTTTAAATTTTATAATTTCTGCATGCCATCTTACCAGATTTAAACTGATGATCTATAATCTGGAAATATCGATAATCTGGAATTGCCCAAGTCCTGACGAGTCCGGATTAACGACTTTTGACTGTATTAGTAAAAGTTTACAATTGGGTGCCTCCCTTTTTTTTTTTGTTTTGTTTTTATTATTATTCTTTTTTGATGCCAAGATCGGTGCCAGGAAGGCACAATTTCAAGATGGTTGCTACAGAAAAACCAAAATACGAAGAATTGCATAAACTTGGTGTCCATGTTCACACTGACATATTTTCACTTAATAAAAATCAGAGAATTGCACAAACTAGGCACTGCACACTGCTTTAACTTTGTACACATCAATCTATTTTCACTTAAGATCATGAAGTTGAAACAAAGTTAAAACTATTATGGTAACCAAAAATGGGGTTTTCATCACCAAGACTGAACAAAATTTGCTGCTAATCCAAGGGGCACCCAATTCATTTTTTATAGTCAGACAAAAAGTAAAAATGTTATAAAAGCAATAATGAAAACCTCATTTTGCTGTATGAATTCACACAATTACACATCCGTTGAATTGCATGTGTTCTCAGAAAGGACCACCAAGATTACCTATTACAAGAATCTTTTTTTTTTTTTTTTTCAGGGGGGCAGAGTCTAATATCAAAAGTGCATGAAACAAATTCAGTATAGTTAAGTAATATTAAAAGCACCAATCTTAACTATCAAATTTTGACTTTTTTAAAAATGACATTTTAAAATATTGTTTTCATATTGTGCTTTCCTAACACAAAAGACTTAAACTTTTAAGAAAACCTTCCAACTTATCCCTCCTGCCATCAGATCTTTAATACCTACCAAACTGGTTAAAGTCAGGTGGACATTCATTTCAACTCAGTATTTAAGGTTACTATAAACAACATGGTCATCATAATTTTTCATTAATCACTCCCAATAGTAATAATACTAAAATCGTGCCCAATTTTTTTGGTACCCAAGTCTTTACGCGGCTAATCTTTGGAATATGGTAACATGTAGTTTGGTGACATTTTGGTAAGGCAATCAAGGTTACTAGGTAGGACTTTAGCAATAATCTGAGTACACAGTTCGAATCACAGATCATTTTGCCTCAGAGAAATGAGAGTTCATGAGACATGTCATGTGACATTTTCTGGAAAATTCCGGTCGTGATTTTAGCTAGTAAGCACTTAGAAACTATTTCGCTTCTAAATTGCAGAATCGCCCACTTATTTGTTCGTCGCTTTTTACAAGAGTAACAAGAATTTGATTTTTGTAACTTTTCTTTGACTTTTTAAGTGAATATAGGGCGATGTGTACATGGATAAAGTCAAGAGTGTGCGCAATGCCATTTTTGTGCAATTCTGGGATGTTTTTTTAAGTGAAAATAGGTCGCGTGCCTGGATACCGTGTATATTCTGCAATTTAAAACGTGGCAAGCATGGGCGATTCTACACTTCTCCAATTTCGCACTAATCTTATCAAGTTAAGCTATTGTTCATAAAATTCTACGTAAGAGTAATGGGCTAGCAGATGTTGGACAAAAGTTGAGTAAAAAAGAAAAAAAAAAAAAAAAAAAAATATGCTTTACTTCATGAAAACAAAATGCTCCAAAAAAAAAAAAAAAACACTAGCAAGTTGCTGTAGATGTTGGTACCAAAATCACCAAATTACCATAATCTAAAGACTCACCAAAAAAACACCAAGAGTTTACCTCATGCTACTAAGAATCTGTCTTTTTTTTTTTTTTTTTTGCAGGGGAGGGCAGGTATAATATGAGGTTGGCATGAAAACAAAGTCAAGTATCATGTTAAGTAATATTAAAAGCACCAATCTTAACTATCAAATTTTGGCTTTTTAAAAAATATTGTTTTTATATTGTGCTTTCCTAACACAAAGTAACTTTTAAGAAAACCTTCCAACTTCCCGCCATCAGATCTTTAATACCTACCAAACTGATTAAAGTCAGGTGGACATTCATTTCAACTCAGTATTTAGGGTTACTATAAACAACATGGTTATCATAATTTTTCATTAATGACGCCCAAAAGTACTAATGCTAATCTTTGGAATATGGCAACATTTTGGTAAGGCGATCAAGGTTACTAGGTAGGAGTTTAGCAATAATCTGAGAAGTACACAGTTTCAGTCCTTTTTACCAACTTTAATGATTCACAAAATTTTCTAATTTATGAGAAAAATTATTTACATGTTTTCATATATAAATTTGCCCTATAAAAACAAATTTCTGGGTACGTTTGTTCCACTCTTTTCAGGAAAATTCCGATCGTGATTTTAGCTAATAAGCACTTAGAAACAATTTGGCACCTAATCTTCGTCATGATTATGCACTTTTGTTAAAGAAAAGCTCTAGCATAAGCATAATTCGGCTAGCAGATTGTTGGAAAAAATGTTGAGAAAAAAAAAAAGCCTTTACTTCGTGAAAACAAAATGGCGTCCAAAGAAAAAACCAGCATGTTGTTGTAGCAGGGTTGATCGCCAAGTTACCATAATCCGAAGATTCTTCCTTTATCCTTGGAAGTTAAAATTTTTCTTTCACCAATAGATGAAAAAATTGGAAAAATACCAAGATGGAAAAACTCCCTATATAATTAATTTTTCCAATTCCAATATCTTCTTATATACTTTATCTACACAGGGTTCCACTTCTTGGTATGCCCAAGATTTGACTGGAAATATTTGAGGAAGTATGTAAAATGAAACTGGAACTACGTAAAAATTGACCACAGGTCTTTAGTATTTCTTTACTATACATCAAAGTATGCAACACATTATTTCATTACAGGCAGAAGAAAGACATTTCTACAATTAATTGCATTTCTATGATAACATCTGCATTACAGAGAAATGCTTTGCTTGCACAAAGCACATACAAGTTACAGTTCTATGATCCACACAGTGCAATTTGGTAGACAACAGATGTAAACACTAAACACATACTATTTCCAAAATCCTGGACAAAGTACACTAGAGTGACAAGGATTCAGGTATGGGAAAAAGTGGAGAAATGCAGAATCCATCAAGGCTGACTCTGAATAAGAGAAATAGTCTAAACCAGCAATTCTCAACCGGTGGTATGAAAGGAAAAAATAGACATTAAGATTTAAAAAATAACACTTGCTAACTTTTGGCTGAAACAAAGCTATTAAATTTTTATTGCTTTCTTGCACAACTTATTTGTATGAACTAAGGTTTTTCTTCCACGTTATATTTGAAAAATAAATACAAATCAAAATTAAAAGTGAATCCTAATTTACAGTTAAAACTAAGTAAATCAAGACCAAACATAAAGACAATCTCTCTTAACCAAGCCCAAATTTCACACTAAATTTTAGAAGTAAAGTAGTATAACTTAAATTTTCATAATTAAAATAACCAATTTTTAATCTAATACTTTTTTATGTATTCATAGTTAATACTACAAATACCCGATAGGTTCTGCAAAAGGTAAAATATATATTTTCTAAAATAATTCCATTGAGAAATTAAAAAATGTTATGGTGGTACTGAAGTTTTTCAATTTTTGTTTAGATGGTACGCACTAGTCCAAAGGTAGGGAACCGCTGGTTTAAACCTTTTCAATTATACTGGGCACATATACTTTAGACCTCTGGATTGGATGGATGTGAAAATGTTGCTTAAGTGAGTACTTTTTAAAAATGACTTGAGATTTGTCTTGCAGAAATCAAGTTCTTTCTCTTGTAAAATAATAAAAATTAATTTTTTATTTTGATCAAATGCCCTCCAGTGCACCTAAAATAAAAGAAACTGTTTAATTACTTTGAATAAATGACAATTTACATACGTCACACAGGGTCAGCAGTAGACTCTAGGCCACATGGCACATTGATGATCCTAAAAAGTAATCTGCATATCTTAAATTCTAACGGTGAGTGATCTCTAAATTCTAGGAATTTTGCTATCCACTGCAATTAAAACATAGTTGACCTTACATAGTGAAGATTCTATGCTTCATGCATAAGTCCTATTGCACTGAAAATTACAGGTTGTTACTAACCTAAATCTTCCTTCAGATATAAAGCTTCTTTCAGCATACATAAACATGTTTCTTCATTTGTCAAAATGACTAGTTAACTTATAAGACTTCAATTCCATTAGCAGTAAAGAAATCAGAAATTTAAATCACTATTTACTATCACATTTACATACCTCGCATGCAAGGTTTGTCTCCCGTAAGAATATGCATATGTTTAAATTACCTTTTGGACTATACGACCTCTTCCATACCTCACACGAGGTTTCTCTCCTGTGTGAATACGCATATGGGCAATTAAATTCTGTCTAAGTCTAAATGATTTTTTACATACTTCACACATATGAGGTTTTTCTCCACTGTGAGTAAGCATATGTTTATTTAAACTGACCTTTCGTATAAATGACTTCTTACATACCTCACACTCGTGCTGTTTCACTTGTGTGTGAGTAAGTATATGCATGTTTAATGTAACCTTTTGGGTAAATGTTTCCTTACATACTTCACACATATGAGATTTCTGTCCTGTGTGAATACGCATATGCATGTTTAAACTACACTTTTGAGTAAATGTTTTCATGCATACTTCACACACATGAGGTTTCTCTCCTGTGTGTGTAAGCCTGTGTGCATTTAAACTAGTTTTATGACAAAATGATTTCTTACATATTTCACACACATGAGACTTCTCTGCTGTGTGACTAAGCATATGCCTGTTTAAAGAAGTTTTTAATCTAAATGACTTCATACAAACTTCACATACATGCGATTTCTCTGTTGTGTGAATAAGCTTATGCCTGTTTAAAGTAGCTTTTAATCTAAATGACTTTTCACATACTTCACACACATGACGTTTCTCTCCTGTGTGAATAAGCATGTGCATATTTAAATTACCTCTTAAACTAAATGACGTTTTACAAAATTGACACACATGAGGTTTCTCTCCTGTGTGAGTATACATATGCATGTTTAAAGCACCCTTGCTCCTAAATGACTTCTCACACACTTCACACACGTGAGGTTTCTCTCCTTTATGAATAAGCATATGATTCTTTAAATAACCTTTGTGATTAAATGGCATTTTACATATTTTGCACACATAAATTTTCTTTCCTGCATAAACATGCATATGCATGTTTAAACTATTCATTTGATTAAATTGTTCCGTACCTACTTCACACATATGAAGTTTCTGTCCTGCATGAATAAGCAGCTGTTCTATTAAATCACTCATTTGCCTAAATTATTTGTTACAAATTACAGACACATGAAGTTTCTCTTTTGCATCAGTATGTATATGTTCTTTTAAAATATTGCCTTTGCCACATGAATTATTACAAATCTCCTAAAACATGAAATTTACGCACTATTTTCATAAATATAACTGACTTCCTTTATATCATAGACGTTGCTATTGTTAAAGCTTAGCAGAAAAACGTCGCCGATTTTTTTAGCTTTCAACACTTAAACGTATAAATCATACTTCACCACGAACTAGCCCTTTATTAAACAGTCGCATGATAGTTTCAGAATAGTTGCTATCCTTAAAAAAACTACAAGAGCTTTATTAATTCACGAGAGAAAATCAGTTTCAACGAAAACAAACTTTATCATCACGAAGGGTAGAATAACTGTACTATATTGTTTTGGAACTTGAATATCTACCGCTGTTGCCATACACAAATTACTAACCTGAACTAACAAAATCTCTGTTGGTCTCTCTGAGGCTTGCTCATGAGCTAGGAAATATAAAATACAAATAATAATAATAAATCTGAAAGGTTTTAGATTTTAAATTACGTCTAAAGGACTTTTTTTAACGTTTTGTGTGTTACCTTTATTTATTAAATATCATGTCCTTTGCACTTAAACCATAAAATTCAGCTAAACAACAATGTCATAAAATAATTCGACCGCCTCATGACCTAATAGTTCGACCGCCTCATCCGCGACCATGAGAGCAAACACGCATGCGCCATTCGGACCGAATTATTCTCAAAATAGGATGGAAGTGTGGGGACTTTCCTTCCAGCATACCTCTTTCTGAAGAAGAAAAGACCTTTCACATCGCAGGAAGTAATACCATGGGCGTGTCTATGTGTTTTGGCAGAATGCCAACCAGGGTTACTCTTGAAACGATAGAACTATATCTTTAGAATTTCCGATATACGGTTCCGTGCGCTGGAGATAAAAGATCGGCGTTAAATCCCCAAACGCACAGGGAGGTCACGTGACATCTAAACTATATGCAAGATGATGTCACATCAAGGACACGCCCTTTACGCTCAGTAAATATTTACTCATAAATTGAAACATGATTGTGCGATGTGGGTTTCAGAAGCAGAAAAATTTCGTGAAAATACTACAGTTCTTTATATATTAACATTTTAGCACGTATATCTTTCTAATACACTCTTCTGTTTATTTTAAATCACTGAGAAATATATGAGATTTCAGTTTTAAATTAATATGTTAATATTTGCAATACATTTCACCCAGTAATTAATGATTTGTGCTTTGATTTCTATACTGTATTAGGACAAAAATAATACTTTCTTTTCTATATATTATTAAAATGAAGAGTTAATGAATTTAAAATTACGAACTTTTTTTGGTAATAAATATGTATTATTTTATTGCATATCTGAAAAGAATCTGGTTTAAATATATATTATTTATGTAGTTATTGGATTGAAGAAGTAACATGTAGTATGCTTCAACAGATCTAATGGAAGATTTTTTATTGTTTTATATGTTTATAATTTTTAATTTGTATAAAAGTTTGTTCGGAATAGTTTTGAAAAATATATTACACCCATACTAAATCTGAAAAACTAATTTTTATCCTGTGAAATACACTCAGATTTTAATGTGAATAAAACTGTGAAACTGCCAAGGTATTTTCTTAGAAAGCTAATTTCAATTTCAGGCTTAGTGTAGTTTCTAATGTAGATACAAACCAGTTTCGTCAGAGAGTCCTTCACAAAGACATTCATCCTCTTAGGCTGTAGCCCTTACGTGCCATAATAAAATAAATTAAACCAAGCTCTAATAAAAATGTAATATTGTTTCTTCCTTTTTGGTACGGAGCACGTTTTGTAAAGATGTCAAGAATTTTGATAAATCGTCAGTGTAAACCATTTAAAAATATCTGGCAGTCCTAACAATGATGAATTACGGTTTATTTGTGATGAGAAGAGCTTCGAGAAAACCACCTTATCATATTTTTCACCATGAAAATGCTAATAATTCATAATCGCTCATAATTCTATCATGGCAAGAAGCGCTCTCCATATTACACTTGTTAATGTATTTTAAATTATTATTTTTTAATCTTAAAATTTTTAATTTACTGAGAAATAAGGAAGATGCTTGCTATATCTTTTTTCAAGAAAGACACATATTTTACCTCGCATTCGAATATGCAAAAAATGGCCATTAAATAAAACTTAACATTAGCGAAAGCAGAAGTGCAGCTTAAAAATTTGCAAATGAAAGAAAAGGATATAAACAACTGGTTCATTGGTTTTAAAATACTATTTGTAACAGTGCAGCAATTTATTATTATTATTAAGATAAAAGAAACACTACAAAAATGTGACTATTCACTGAAACAGTTTGAGAGCGATGTATTCTCTGCATATAATTCAACAGCCAAATATGTGAATAGGTGGCCCTGAAAAAATTGTTAACATAGACGAAAATCTGTTCATACAGTAAAAAAAACCAAAGCTGGCATGATTCTTTGACAAGTTATGCCAGAAAACTGAGGAATTATTTCTCTCTCAGTTTCTAAATAGAGAGCTATCCACAATCATGGCAAAAATTGTCGACCATCTACAAGAGGGAACGACAATTTATTCAAACTTCTAGTGAGCATATGAAAGACAGGAACTGTACAAAGCAGCTTACAGGCATTTTACTGTAGACCATAAATTTCCTTTTGTTGATCTAACAACAGCTGCTCATGCGTAAAATATAGAATGACTATAGAGCTCTAGTAAGTGGTTGAATAAAAATTGAAGAGGCACGTTTCACTGTCATCATGAATCTTACTTCGTAGTGTTCATGTGGTGAAGATCTTTGACACCTTGGAATACTTCTTATGCCATATTAAAAGCAATCGAGGAAACATGGCAGCTCCAAAGTGTGCATATGAAGTAAACTTGAACTTGACCTTAGTTCTGATGCCAGCTTGACGTTTAAAAAAAATGGAAGCTGCAGTACTAAAGAAGTACCATAACCTTTTTAAAACTAAGGTTCCGTTTACATTTAAGTTGGTTTGGTTGCCATATCTGTATGTTTTGATTTTGATGTCCCCCAATTATGATTGTCTTTTTAATTTCTTTTTTACATTTAGAAGTGTACAGCATATGTTTGAATTAATTTCATAAAACTCTACATTATGTAGCAAGGACTTGAAAATTTATAGTACTTTATTACTTTTGGTACGCCCCCACCGATAAGCTATGAGAATATATTTTTGACGCAACACACCAGGTCATCAAAAAGCTTTTACGTGGCAACAGATGATGTCGCCAAAAAATATTTATCATTGAACCCAGGTATGTGTGTAGCATTTCCCAGACAGTTTTTCACTTCGGACATTTTCACAACCGTGATTGCAGATTATGATCCCTCCCATATTAGCCTAGTGGTGGGCAGCATAGTGCAGTTTTCATTGTTTTCGGCAAAATCTCAGATTTAGCTTTCTGCAGCCATAGAGTGTAATGTGGCTTTCTTTAAAGACATCATGCGCCTCGTTTTTCTTTCTGATTTTGGAATTTTGATACAGAGTTTATGCTATACTTTGATCTTTCCTTAAATGAAAACAAATGACTATGTACATCGAAAGAACAAAAGCACAAAACTTAGAAATATAATGGGACTTACGTAGAAAAAGAAGACTATAGAAAAAGAGGTGACAATGGATGAATCATTGAAATAGATATAATGTTTCTCTGCAATGATGCAAATGAGTTACTACAGTTACTACCGTCAAAGACCAAATTACCATACATTGTATGGATATCTAGGAATGCAAAACAATGAATAACACACATTACAGATAATGAGTAATTTCTCTATAGTTGAACAAAAATTTAAAAAATAGCTTATAATGTTTGATTTGCCATTACTGTGAACATTACAATCAAATTTAAGGTCAGGTTAGGTTACTTGAATTTGGCAAAGTACACAAGGGCTATATGCCTAACAGGAAAGATACCTTCATAGAGAACTTCCTAAGGGAAACTAACTCATAGTCGTGTTTCATGGAGAAAACCAACCATGCAGCTAGCCTATTGGAGTGAGTTCAAACCTGGGTTGAACTACCAGCGTTCAGTGGTTACAACTACCCACTGGTGAGGACTCGTATTTAATGTGCATTAGCAGTATATTCCTGTCACGGAAGTGGTTCACAATAGGCAGTTGGTAAAGTTGAGGAATGTTGGTAGTTCATCCCAGTTTCAAATCCAGCAAGTTGACTGATTGACTGCATAAGAGTTTTTGTGGTTTTTCGCATTTGTAACACGAAAGCGAGGAATTTTTCGTATACGTCTTCCACAAAGGCACCCTCCCCTTTTAGGCAAATAGCTTCTCAGTCCTTTGTTATAATCTATTTAATGCAAAATTAATTTGTAAGTATCATTATGATCCAAACAGAATTATATTCAATAATTTAAAAATCTTAAAATTGTAATTTTAGAAAAAAGAATAGCTTGTTTATAGATTGTAACAGTTACATTAAATACCAAAGTACAGAATAATATCTTTAAAACACGAGGTATCATAGTTCCTTCGAAAGTTTTCAGTGCAATAGCAATATTAATAGAGCAAAAGTTGCTTAGCAATGCATAACAAATTTTTCCAAGTTTACTCTTAGCCCTATCACATATACAGTCACCTCTATACATTAGAATTAGCAAAATATAAGTTAGTTATGGAGTTTTCTTGTGAAATATCAAACATAAATATTTACAAACAAGATAGTTCATGCATAGTGCAATAAGTTTTGAAGAGATTGATTGCCTGTGTGATGCAAAATGCTTCGTTATATTATATTACATAGGCTAGGTCTTTGCAATTTGCACATAGTAGGCTGGCCCTGCAATTATCACTGTCGTGGCCTTCCGCAGAGCAACATGGACATGTGAATTTGTCACAACAGGACATTTTCGAGAGGCAGAATCGCTGGCATTGAAACCACCCCCAGGGGTTAGGTATGTAAGGTTTTATGGGGCAATTTAATTACCCGGCCATAATACTTTTCGGCAGATCAGGCGAACTGAAAATCAGGATTACGTGTTTTGTATTTATTAACTGACCATCTTTGCGCTTTGCAGTACAGACATTCTCATCGGAGAGCTCTGAGACAATTTCTTCTTCTGAGACAAAGGGGAATTAGTCTCAAATATTTCTCCCGGATTGTAATTCAATGATTTCTGCTTTGATACATTGATGTCGACTTCGACTTGCCCAAGTTTTCCGAGTTAAGAAGGGTAGCAGACTGAGCTGGAGTAACTGTTTCTATTAGAAGATCTCCAGAGCGCAGTCGTTTTATTGTCTTTGGCTCATCAATAGTCGCTTGTATGTGTTTTTGTATCATGAATGATGATATTTTTGAAGCTCCTCTTTTA